GACCTGAGGGGTACTTGCACAAAATATGGGGAAACATGAGGGAAACTTGTGGGGGAACATTACCAAATGGTCAGGTAGAGCTCGGGTTGTTTTTAAACTGTAATCTCTGAAATTAGTTCCTTTTTGAAACTTCTATAATATTTTGGAGATTTAACTCATCTGGATACATTTCCCATTGTAATAAATGAGACGAATTTCGAAATATGTGTAACATTAAATTTACTCTTTAGTGTTCCGTGCAATTGAATTTCAACGCTTAGTCATTTTTTCAATGATCACCGGCACAGCACATATTACTGTAGCGTTCAGTTCAGAGGTTGTGACCATTCAATATTGATTTCCAATATTCAGCTGTTTTAACCTTCAAACTATTGTTATTAGCTTGATTGTTTGTTTGATTGAATTGTGCGCGCGCGTCAGGTGCTAAGGTCATTAGTCACGTAAGTGTGATGCACGTTTTATATCGCGGAAGGTACGTGTGATCGCGGCGGCGATGGTGTAACGGTTAGCGTACTGGACTGTTGTACCCAAGTTGGCGGGTACAAACCCGATCGATGCCGTGGATTTTTAAGGGCGATAAAATCCTTCGTACGCCTTCCTTCGGAGGGGAAGTAAAGCCGGCTGTCCCATGTTCGTAGATTTACTTGCATGTAAAAGATCCTCAAGCCTAAATGACGCCTCTGAGCTAAATTCAAATCGCCTGTTTCTCGCCCAAGATACACCTCCTTTCTCCAGTAGTTGGTGAAAGGAGCGTATCGAAATTTGCGTGGTCAGACGGAAGAGCAGGCCTAATGGCCTGAGTCTCGCCACGTAAAATAAGGCATTAATTCAATTCAATTCAATCTTTACCCGCTCAATGGGGAGATCCGCCACCGACCTTCCTGCTGGCGAGCGGGATTTTCCACGATTAGGTATCTCCCCCAACCGGGACAAGCTCTAAGCTCCCGACTGTGTGGTAATGTAATGCCTGAGAGTAAGGGAAAAAGGAATAAGGATAGGACAAGGAAGAGGAAGGAAGGATCGCGCGAGGTTCGTGGCCCGTTTGTTAGGGTTGTGCTCCGGCTTTTGCCTAGTTTTGATCGAAGAAACAGGAAAAACAATCAAAAGACGCAGCCGGCCTCTACGATGCTCACCAATACACTTCTCGTAGTCTAGATAGTAAAAAAAGGAGCAGATATTTTGGTGTAATTTTGAATCGCTTAGTTGCCCTCCGCCCCTAAAATGTGTAGGAAACTATTTCGTAGTAAAGAAAGAAAAGTACATTTTTCCTGGAATTTTCCAGCTTGGTTTGCAGGATAGCAATGTGAGGAAGCATGTAATGAACCATGTCGGATCACATTGTGTGGAAAAATAGGGAACTAGGGTGTATTGCACAAAATATGGGGAAACATGAGGGAAACTTGTGGGGGAACATTACCAAATAGTCAGGTAGAGCTCGGGTTGTTTTTAAACTGTAATCTCTGAAATTAGTCCTTTTTTGAAACTTCTATTTTATTTTGGAGATTTAACTCTTCTGGATACATTTTCCATAGTAATAAATGAGATGTTGAATAATGTAGAAAATCCTGTCGCCGTCGGAACTATAACCCTAGGACCTCCCCGTCAGAGGCACTGCATTGTCATTAATTGATGCCTGAGCCACCTAAGCCGGAAGTTAGGTTATGCACAGCAAAGTTTAATATTAATAGCATGTAAAGAACTGTTGGATATACAATTATATATACTGCATTATTTTATTACAGCCTTTGTGAAGACTTCTTTTGTTACTTTTAATTGTCTGCAGTATTATTCGAGTGTTTTATTTGTTCTTGTGACACGCAACACAGGCAGTCAAATTTATCTCGTAATCTGAGCACGAGGGTGCCCCTTTATTGTGTTTCCAGATTCGCGACAGTTTGAATCGAATAGGTTTGCGCAACTCTTGTGTACGCGTACCCTAATATAACTTATAGGCAGCCGTTTGAAAAAAATAGTTTCACACACATTTCTTTAGAAGATATTACAAATTACAACATTTTAAACATTTTATCTAGTATCCGAAATGTTTTTGTTCTTTACATTTCCTTTTATTATTCGTGTTATTATTGTTATTGTTATTATTATTATTGTTATTATTATTATTGTTATTATTATTAATTATTGTTATTATTATTACTGTTATTATTATTATATTGTGTTTTGAACTGTGTGCGTGCTACTTTTCCGTAAACTATTTTGCGTTGTTTTGTTCTGCAGCATTTTCGCTGTTGCTGCAGGGAACTCGATATATAATGTTTATCTGCCGAATTTAATTCTAAGTCTTGCTAGGGAAACCCAAGTCGCGCGCGTTGTACCCGGGATGAGCTGGGTACGCGGACACGCGGGGCGGGCGTCGATGCATGGGCGCGGGTGGGCACACGGAGTCAATAAACGCGTGGCGTGGCGTGCCGTAGGGCGGGAGTGGGAGGGGCGGGACGGGGTGAGCAACTGGTGCCCACGCCGCGACTTCGATCCGAGTGTGCGGTCGATGTTCACCATGCGACATTCCCTACTCTGACAGACTCTAGAAGTTGCAAAAGACTGCGCAACTAGCTAAGAGCTAGCCAGAAGCACGAACGGTCGTATTCCTTCCGGTTTGCAGGAGCTGTCCATAAAAGCTCCGTAGATGAGCGTAAGGTGTGTTGCAAAATGTAGGATCACCCTGTGAAACTTTTTATTGTCAATCATTTTCAAACAAAAAAATCTTGGCATAACGGAGAATAAATTGATGATATAATCTATTGAATACGCACAACATATTTGAATTTATTTTTTTCCCTAACAAAATTTAAAATGAGAATATGGTTGTTGTAAAATGATAAGACCTCTTCATTTTAATAACCAATAAATGACCCATTTCCAACATCGAAAACTCTAGTCTTCATATTTTCCACAAGCTTTTTTAATGTGGACAATTTTAAATTGCTCCGTTTTTCAACGTTGTCTCATTGCTTCCCATATTTATAAATTTCTCTACACAAGATTCCCCAAAGGTTCTCCAAAAGGTTAAGGTCTGGAGAAATATCTGGCCATTCCAAGACATTCTTATTGTCACCACTAAAACCAACACTTTGATGACCTAGCAGTGTAAATAGATGATATCAATAAATTCAAGAAGATTCTGATAGTCTATGGCTATCATCCAAGCACTTCGGAAAGCGAAGGATGTAGTTCGTCTGCAACTGAACCCACACCAAACCGTGACTGATTGTCCTCCCTGTTCTCTCTTTTTGAAAACATTTTCTTCCTTTCCGAGATTGTGTCAATAGAAAGAAAATCCATACGATATCACTGAATACAATATGATTCCATTTATTATCAAACGCCATATGTTCTTTTGAATATTCAAGTCTTTTTTGCTTTTGGTCATTTGTTATTCGCGGTTGCTTTATCTTTTTTTATATTTCAGAATATTAATTTTCTTTAATAAGATAGACAAAGTAGATTAATGAACATTGATTAAAGAGACTTTGGAAGTTGTCGATACGATGTTCTGCCAGCAGAAACCTTTCTAATAAATAGATGTGTTTGCTTAATTGTCTGTTTCTGTAGTCTTCCACGAGTTGTTTTTAGTTACACACTCATTTTCTAGCTTTAAAATGTTACACATGGTGATATGCCCAGCTTTTTTGCCATATATAGGAAAAATGGTCTCTCTTCATATAAAACACTAATACGCCCTTTCTCGAACCCTGTCAGTTCAATTTCCGATCGTTTCTCGTCAACTTGCCACATGAACAGCATTACTGACAATACAATATTCAGTAAACTTGTAAGGATGTCATGAAGCAAGCAAATAACATCAGACTTGGGTAAATACTCGAAAGTTACGGAATAAAGTTTGAAAAACAGAATGGTCGTGTCATTTTGCAACTCTCCTATTTTTTTATAAAGGGAGTTTTCTTGTTTTAAATATATCTAACTGGCGTAAATGAATATTTCTACTTTGCCGTATATGTACACATATACGTATAATAGTATACGTAGTATAGGGAAAGATATGTAATGCTGCGCGAAAAAACTGCGGATTTGCGGAAGAAAAAAATAATTTCCGGGGCCTGATCACGAAAAAGTGGATAAATTCAGTTGATAAATTAAGTAAAAAAATTGTCTAACATGTGGTTTAGCCACAATTCCTGTTTTGTGGGTCCTTGATAGTGGGTAATTGACTAACGGCCTAACGTCCTAAACGCTAATTGACTAGCGTGCTAAACGTCCGTCTGTCCGTCCGTCTGCCCGTTTGTCTGTCCGTCCGTCTGTCCGTTTGTGAACACTGCTAGCGCCTAAACCATGCGTAAACCATTTCTTTCCAAATTGAAGAAACTCCTGACCATCTCTCTTGATTCAAAGCTTTGAGATTTTGAAAAGCATTCTTTAAAATTTGTTTTTTCTTACATGAAGCCCCTGAGACATTTTCAAAATTTTCTCAAAAACGACTCCAAATTTTTGTTGAGATTTCTTGTAAGAATAAATGAGCATACACTTATAAAAGCGGCATTCATTCAATTTTCACGGTTAACTCTGAATTTTCGAAAATTTCAAAATTATGAATTTTTTTTCGGCGTCTTCCAACAACTACAAAATTGAAGATAGAGGGTTTCCTTCAAATTAAATTTGTTGTCCATAATTACTTCTTTGAATAAGGTCATCTGCATTTTTGTGAAACTTTTAATAGTTTTCACGCAATATTGTACGCAATATTTTCAATTTTAAAAAATTTCAAAAGCAAACTGTTCTCAAAAAGGCTCCAATTTTTTTTAAAAACTTTTTATAGGGGTGGAGTTATGAAATAACATTAACGACCTATTGCCCTATACTTTTGATTTTTGTATGTTGGGCAACGAGACCGATTAATAACGTGCATTGCTGGTCATGGTAACCCTGACGTATCACCTGATACGTTCAATAAAGAAACTGACCGAGTAAGTTCGTCCTGTGTTTCTTCTGCTATTTTTATTCACAGCAGTCGGCAGTTGTCGATCCGAGCGGGAGTAAAAGCGTTTGAACGGGGCCTAGCCGCGTTCGACTAGGGATTCCCAACCCCTTTTAACTTCAGTTAGCATAGTTAAAATGTATTGAGTTTTCTAAATATCCCACGTAAGAATGAATAATGGATGCAAAACAATTGTAAATTTTGTATTTATTATTGTATGTGTTGGTGGTTTGTATCAGAAAACAATACTCAAGTTTATTAATGTGTGTTTTCTAGTCAATGAAGCCTTGAACTTCATTATATCTATCAATAGACAGTTTATATTCAGCTATTGACTCCTATTCGACCTCTTGATCATTATTGACTTCTACAAAAGTCATAGTGAAGTGCAGTGCAATGCAGTGCAGTGCAGTGTGGTCTCAGTTGTACAAACATTCAGTTCGGAGTTAGATTATAGAATATTATTTTTCTTAATGATTCATGAAGTCAGTTTTTATGTTGTTGTTGTTATTATTATTATTATTATTATTATTATTATTATTATTTTATCACTATTTTTATTATTGTACCATTAATATTAAATAATTTTTATATTAGTTATATGAATTTATTTATCTAATTAGCTGCCACGGGTTTATACCCAATTGCAGTTTAAATAAATGTACCTTATCTTATCTAAAATTCCATCCCCTCCGGCGGTCGATAGGGACGACGTGGAGAACCCCAGCGTTAGACCACACGACTTTCATTAGTTGCAACAAGTTCTCGGTGTAAATGAAAGCTGTGTATTTTTGCGTAATTTCTGAACCTTAGTGTACAAACTTTCTGAGTAACATGCACAGGACGTTTTTACGTACTCGACTGCGAATGAGTTCCCGATTCAGCATACCCCACATTCCGCAGGCATTGTGGCATTTTTGTGCCATACACGAACAAGGGAAAACAGTAAAGAAATCGCTCTATCCCATCTCGCAACAACCCGAAGCCTGAAGGTTAGAGCGCGAGTTTTTTATCTTCTCGTATTTAGTTGTAATCCCTATGAATACATGCGGAATTTGCGGAGAAAAATTCCGGTTCACGTCAGGTTTTCTCGAGTTTCTCCCCATTACCCTGCCTCTCATTCCGTCACTGTTCCATGTAATCTTACATTTTATTATCATCAGATTCTGGAATAACGGTAATTTTTTACTGAATTCTTCAGATTCGCATGTTATGATCACCATAAAAAAACTAGCGGAGAGCGAAAAGAAAGTTGTGTGTATTGGGATGTATATGGGCCAACTTGGTTTTACATGTGTTAAGTTCTTTAGTGGTAATTTTCTAAATAATTGGTGTTAATTTGTATTCATTTCGCTTCCCTCAAATCGATGAGTCACATTGACGATATTTATTAGTATCTTTTATTTCAGACATGTTCAACTTATTTTGTATATATCTATAATATAAAAATGAATCGCAAAATGTGTTGGTAAGCGCATAACTCAACAACGCCTGNNNNTTAGTTTATTTTATTTTTTGATGTGAACAAATCGGCACTTTACTTTTGCACGAATAGATATTAAAAATATTGTGAATTAATTGAATGGTTTAATAAAAATTACTTTTAATCAACTTTATGATTCAGAAATATGTGTATCTGCTAATAATGGTTGTTGCTCTAGGGAATACTAAGCTTCATTAATTAATATTTTGTACTTACAGAATGACGGCAAGAGCGATTGTGAAGATGGAGCCTACATAAATATGTAAGTATAAAGCTTCTACTATAAGATATTTTGTGCTACTAATATCTTATAGACCTTCCCGACAGAGCCCATTTGTGAAGAGATTCTTGACAAGATTAACTATCAAATAAGTAAGGAAATAGTGGTACAACAAAGTGGCACAAACATTCTTGTACCGAGTGAAGTCGTAGGCTTCGGCGGCCAAAGTCTTACGCCCAGAGTTTTACGTTTTTTGATTAAATACAATGTCGTCCACATAAATATTACATGAAATTAAACAGAATCCTTGTATTAATTGGATGATTGGATTAAAAAATCATTGACATACAGGCCAGTAAATAAAAACGTTCACCTTTAATATTCTCTAAACAGATCAATATATTGAGATGGAATTTGCGCCAAATGATACAGAACATAGGGGCTCATTTGTACTACTTATTTGTTTTTTGATAGCATTTGTAAATTATAAATAAAAAACGTACTGTTTTTTAATCGAACACTACACGTTTACACGAAGAGACCGAGAGAAGTGGCTCACGGCTTTAACTGACATCACTGTAGTGCTTCAGACCTTGGTTCGAGTCTCGACGGTAGCAGGATTTTCTGCACTAGCTAAACAGCTATAGGTCGAATTCAGACGCTGTCTGGAAGTGAATTCCAGCTGCTGGCTGCTCTGATCGGTACTTTTCTGTGGTTTCTCCGGTCAATACAGGAGAATTCCGGAGACGCGTCGAACTAACGAACGGGCCATTGAGCGCCCGCGATCTTTCCTTTGTCTTTCTTGTCCATATTCTCACACACTTACTGTACTACAGTAACACTCATGTCTGGAATCTAGTCGGGAGCTTA